GCGTGCGTGACTTCGCCCGGCGCTTGCCCGAACAGACTCCCGCAAACAAACAAATCCGAAAACACAAATCCAGCCGCTGCCCACAGTGCTTGCCCGAAGAAAACTATATCACTAGCAGTTCCCAGATCTCACCAAACCTCGGCCAGATTGCTCTATCGAACAATCGCCTTTCCGGTCATCTTCCGCCTTCAATCGGCAATTTCTATGTTGTCCAGAAGCTTCTAATCAACCAAAACCTCTTTTCAGGCAGCATTCCGCCGGAAATCGGCCGGCTGGAGAAACTATCCAAGATGGATTTCAGCGAAAACTGTTTCTCCGGTTCCATTGCCCCGGAGCTTAGCAAGTGGCAGACTTCCTCACTATAACAACCTAAGTCTAACAAATCTCTCTGAGAGATCCTAAGCGCGAGATCACCAGAATACGAATCTTGAACTACCTCATCCACTCTAGTAACAACCTGGAGGTGGCCTCCTGATGTATACTCATCGTGGCTTGCAGGTCCTTATCTACTCACCAGTTCGCACAGCAACTCAGCAAGGCTCTGGAAAAGTAGAAAAATAAAGATCAATAATATGTCGACTAAAAGAAAATGGGAAATCCTTTGATAAGGGCGGACCTCTGTGGAAGATCCATATGCTAATGTTGGTGATGCAGCACTTTCATTTGATAGCGAAGATGCTGCAAAGGCATTTGCTGGGCTGCATGAGTGGGACTATCAGGTTAAGAAGCGTCATACTCCTCTTTTGAAGGTAGCGTTTATTGTGAACTACAGTGACTATTTTGGCTTGGCGACTGATGAAGATGTCAGTGGAATGCCAACTGTGCTTCAAAGCATTCATGAATGTCATGAGATTAGTGATTGGGTCACTCGTAAGTTTGCTGCAGATGCTTTGGTTGTACTTGCCTCTTATTCAGGTCATTTGACTACCACTAGGACTTCTCAAATAATTGAGTCTCTTGAGGCTTGTTGTTTTGATATGGTGAAACCCGTGCGAGGTAACATGATGGTGTCATTGCAAGATGGGAGAAAAATTTCAGACAAAGGTGATACTGCGGTACCCGAGGCTTCAATGGAGAGAAAAGTTGTTAATTTTGGAAATATTGAGAACAAGATCTTCGATCCGGGAATCTGTCTTCTGCAACAATCTCTTTTTCAATAATGCGTCTCGACGGAGTCGAGCCTTTTTTACGCTAGGGGAGAATGATGCGGAGCATTTTTAGCTTATAATATTCCTTAGGTTATTTTATTTAGTTATTACAAGTTCTCTAGAATATTCTAGGATTCTCTAGGTTTTCTTTGCTTTTGCATTATATATAGGGAATGTGTAAGAGGAGAAAGGCATTGAATGAAAATATTACTCTCTTAAAGCTTTCAAGCTTTGTGTTTGCCATTTTCCCTGGATTGGGATTCAAATCATTCTTGCAAATAGATTCTTCCGACTATCCACTACATCAGTTGCCTCTAATTTTTATTGTATCATTCAACATTCTTGAATGCTTTAGTTGTTTGAAGAGGTTAGGGTTGATTTTCAGTGGTTGAGAGGAAAAGATCCATTGGCTATTTCTGTGTTGATTTTCACAGTTCACTTACGATTTTGCATTTAGTCTTTTTTCTTTTTTACTCTACCCCTGTGTTGATTTTCAAGTTTTGTTCAATCTGAACTTTTGGCGAGAAAAAATTATCCGTGAAGTGTTTTAACTGTGTCCAAGCTAGAGGGTGTTTAATTCATTTCTCATATATTACATCTCTTACAGGCATCAAAATAGGTCCCAGATGTTGTCAATTTTCTTGATTTTTTTTGTAGGGTTTCTTCTTACACATCGTGCTATGGTGCTGTGAAAAAAACATAATGATTCATTAAGTGGGAGAAATGATTTCTTTAATTTAGGACCATTTCTTCATGTTTGAATTCCAGAATAATTTTTTACGATAGACTTATATGAATTTCGTTTAATACATTGAATTTGGATGGCTATTTTTTAAATGCATGATATGAAGAATACATTTACCTAGCACCCTGATCTCACATGTGCCGATTGATGCTGCATATGAGTATGAGACGCTACTTGCATTTTTAGTTTTAATTTACTTAACTTTGCTTTCTGTAGAGTCAATTGAACTAGCTTTGAGATTCTCTTATCTGATGTACCATCTTCATTTTGATCATAGAAATAATGTTTTATTATTCATCCATTGGTACTCTAAAACTTTAATGGCCATATGATATAACTCCAAGTTCTTGTTTGTTTAGGATTTTTTTTTCAATGATGTTATTGTTTTACTTATTTTCTTTAATGGCCAGTGCTGAGATTCTGCCATGCCTTGGTCTCAACAAGGTTTTTAGCAAGCTAGATTATGCTGACAAGTTGGAGTTCAAGATTTGACTCACTATTCTGCTTAATACTATATACTACACTTTTTCCTTTTTTTCTCTTTCTCAATTTTCATGTGTTGTAAGTCAATTTAATATTCTAAAGTATCTATATTGTTATAGAATTGGATAAAGATATTCATCTTCCATTAATTTTGCTTAAGAGTATGCTGAGAGATTAATCTCCGTGGATAGAATTGCTTGCCTTCGTTGATTTAAGGCTGTTTCTTAGCTTGATAATTTAGGTTCTTTTGAGATGTTTTGCTGTTTTCTCAGTTATTTATATGATGATGCAACTTGAAAGCATGTGTCCGGCAATTCCTTATACCAATTAGTAGTTCACTTGTTACAGAGATGTTGTACCTTTGCTATGCTCCATTTTTATGTCCAATCAAGGAGCTGGGAATGCTGCTGGAAGAGAAGAGATTTTAGTTCATGTAAGAACGTGAATGGATTTATCATGAATCTTTTTCAGACTATTTTTGTTTTTCCATAATAGTGCTTTCACCTCAATATTCTTTCTGATGCCTAGCTCCTCTTTTAAATGATCTCGTGTCTTTGGCTCTAAAATTTGTGGTTAAACTCTATGAAAGAACATCTTAATTGGATAAAATTTATCTTTTTCTTCTTGTTTTCCGTTATTGTTTAAATTGTTCATTTTGCAAATATATACTATTATGTGTTGAAAGTAAATTTTCCATATATGTTCATATGAAGTGCAGTCATTTGGATTTTATGTGGTTTTCTTTTATCGTGCTTGTCAGCTAGTCTTTCAAATCCTATTGACTCCTGTACAAAATTGGATAGGATAAATTTATAGCTTGATATTTCAATAATTGTTTGTGAGATTTTCTTATCATACTATTTAATATTTTCTTTTAATTTTGAGTTTGTTGTATTAATTTAATTTATACGTGGTGATTGAGTTGAAATGTTTTTGTTTATATCGAATGCTTTATGTGTTTATGTGCCCTAACATGTCGTATCTTTTGAGGGACTAGCACGAGCAATGGGCGCACCAAAGAAAATCCCTGTTGAAGGCATTTCTAGCTTTATATTGACTTAATTTTAAATGTTTGAGAGCTCTCGTTTCTGAATTGCATTCTTCACATATGACTAAATTGACAAATTTCTTTTTGATTTTTTTTTTTTTGTAATTATTCTCACAAAGCATGAAGATTTTTCGTTGTCAGTTGCCTAGATCAAATCCTTGCTACAAGTGAACCTCCTAAGCATAATGGCACCGATAAACCAACCATTATTGGAGGTAATATACATAATTGTCTTGAAGCTCTCCCTTACTCATTGCAGGGTATTTGATAGTAAAGAAAGTTTTTGTACACATTGGTTTTGATTTGCAGAAACAAAAGCTCAGAAGTGAGCTTGAAGTTGTTCTGCTAATTTATGATGACTTTTGTGCCGATCTTAAAAATGATGGGAAGATGTATAGATTGTAAGGTTTTGTTTGAACTTTGTTCTTCATTCAACTCAAGTTTTAGTTTAGATACAAAATTTTCAGTTTATTTTTACAAATTCTGCTAAATAAGGCCATTGGAGAATGTATATATATACATTTTTTTGTTATGTCACCTTCTCTTTTGGTTGAATTTTGTATGCATAACAAAGAAATAAAGCAAGTTGTTGATCTGTAAGTACTTCTGTGTTTCAACTCTTTATGTTTGCTCATCCTAAGGACTAATGGAAGGTACTAAAGACGTTTTATTTGATAGTATTTCTTATCACTGCTTATATACTTTGTTATAATGAAGTCAATTTGAGGCATTTGTTAAAGTAAAAAAATAGAGTTGTATGAGGAAGTTTTGCTCAATGATAGCTAAGATAAGGAGTCTGTTCTCTTCTATTTTGGTTTAGTTATCTATAAAGAATATGAAGCTAGGATGGTTTTGATATGAAGGCCTTGGATGGCGACCGAGTGAATTTCAGCAAGCTGGTGTTCAAGAGAAGAACCACTATCCTTTACAGTATAATAGAACATATTAGCCTCCTTTCATGGCATGAATTTTCAAGATAAGGACCATTGTCCTCTTCTTTGGCGAGCTTCATTATATTGCTACATAGTTTTATTATTTGAGTATTATTTTTCATCACTTTTTATGTTTCGTGAGCTTGTTCTTAACTCATAAATATTTTATATTTTATCACATTATAGAGAGGCAGATGTTTTGGAGATGCAAGCAGTGCACCTAATAGAGTTCTCAAGTAGCTCTTAAAGAGATGTACGGCATGTCTGCTAGGAAAATTGTTTAATTCACTTTGATGGAAGTTTCTTCTTATAATGTATCTTATCTTTTTTTTTTTTTTTTTTTTTTTTTTTTTTTTGGATTTTATTATAATGTGTTGTAAAGATATTTATTGTAATTGATTGATCATATACATATGAAGATTTAAGTTGTATATTTTAGACTGTGGAAAGATTATATAATTGTAGATTTATGAAATAAAAATGTTGATTTGAAAAAATAAAATATTGATTTATCAAATTCTTATTTGAGCTTGCTCTCATTGGTTTTTATCTGCTACTCGATGCATTCTTATTAAGACTGATTTATGATGCTGATGCATATTATAAAGAATGCAGACCTTGAAGAACTACGTGAATTGGGATCAAGTACTTTTGGTTAGCAGTGCTAAGTGAAATGGTACTAAATTCCATAAGCTTTATGTAAATAAAGAATCACAAACTAATTTGGTGATCTCTATCTTTGTTCCATCATCTAAACAAATTTGTGATGGTTTTGTTTGTGTGATAGAGATTTTATCATATTCATTACAGCATTGATTTTTTATATTCATACTGTGAATTTAGATCTTTGCAGAACTTTACCTACCTATTCTTGCCTTGATTTTAGGTTGGAGGAAGCTCTTACTATGTGAACTTTGGTCATAGCTTGGGTGGCGCTGGTTATTTGCGTGGTAGTGGCTCTAGGTCATACTACTAAGGTGCACAAACTTTTGCTCTATTTTCTTATTTCACCTTTTCTTTTCTGTAATTGTGAGTTTATTAAGCTGGTCCTATAGCTAACTATAGACTATCGTTGCAAGTCACTTTCAGAGGTATCATGATGCTATAAATAGTAGAAAGTGATGATTAGAGTCTGATTTATTTCTATGATATCATACTACATTCTGTTAAGTATCTTTTAATTGATCTTTGCAGAATTTTGTTGTCTAGTTATGTACCTTGCAAGTTTGAACTGCTAGTTTCAATATTTACTGCTAGTTTCAAACATCTATGATGGATTAATTTAAACTTAAATTGTATTGGTCTTGCACAATTGTTTCTTATGTTTTAATAATTCCAATTTTTTTTTCTGATATGCACAGAGGTTTGGTTGCAGTATACGGCTGTAACTGAACTGATTTTTGGCTGATCTGACTTTCATTTTTAAAGTTAGTTTTAAGCCAATCTGTTTGATCTTAATTTGGACTTGGTTATATGCTATCTCGGTATGACTCAGGCTTAGTGATTTGTTTCAATTTGAAGATAAATGGGTGCAATATATAGGTTTGTTATGTTTAAGTTTGTTTTGTAAATTTTATTCTTAGTTCACCTTATAAGCATGCACTTATATATGCACATCAGGATGTCATCATTGACTCATGTGTTTGATTCAAAGTTATTTGAAATCTCAACATTATAAATCTGTAATTATCTTATGATGAAATTGGAACTATTCAGGTTTTGACATGGAGGATGACATGGGGCCAGCATTTTAAAATGATTAGATTTTCGGTGCTCAATTTTGTAGGTTTACTCCTCCTTAGTATTATGATTTTTGTTCTGCATCGTTTTATAGAGCATTAAATGTAACATTCCCGGTTCTCTTGGATGCTAGTAATCCTGGAATCGTTTTATATAAGTTATAGGATCTCAACTAATGAATTATTAATATTGATTATTTGAGCTGTTTGAGCAGATCTAATTTCAGATTTTGAAACTATTTATACTTCTTGTTTTTGCTTTTACTTCAGATTTAGAAACCATTTGTAATACTTCTTTCTGCTTTAACTTCTAAAACGCCAAACTGCAATCTATCAGCCTCAAATATTTGGTTTGTGATATCAAACTTTTATCATGAATTTGTTGTAGGATTTTTTATAATTGAGTTAGATGAAAATATTTTTTTTTTTTTTGGTTTGTGATATCAAACTTTTATCATGAATTTGTTGTAGGATTTTTTATAATTGAGTTATTTTTTTTTGATAAGTTTCTTTTGTTTGCGCAGAAGTTTCTGTTGTTTTAATTCAATGTTTGAAAGTAATATGGTGTTTGAGGTTGGATTTTACAGTTATTTTATCTTAGCTTATTTTTAACTAGAATGTAGATGTTAAAGAACAAAAAGTATTGATGGTCTAAGATAGTTTATTGGAAGTCTTCTCCACAACCTGTAGTAGTTTTGTCTTCAACTGAAGCCCAATTCACTGCTGCAAGCCTGCAACTGAAGGTATGAAATAGCATGTAAATTCCATCACCTAAATTAAGCATCTTTATGGGTGTTTGATGAAAGTATACTTGTTTTCATGATACAGTGGAAACTTTATATTTCTTAGAAATTGCTACGTCATTATTTAAGTAGGAAACTTAAATATTTCTTATTTGTTTGCTATCGCATTTTTTATGTTAAATGAAGAATCAGAGCTAAGTTTGTTGAATCCTTCAAGTGAGCTGTTCCAAGAAAATGAAGACCTTGTGGATAGCATTCCTTTTAGTAGAAACTTATTTGATATTTTCGATTATATAGATAGGCTAGTGTGTTTTTCTCTTCCAAATGCACAGGCTTTGTTAAATGTGTCCAACAAGAGAACAAAAAAAATCAAAATAAAGCCTGCATACCTTTGATGTGACTTGTAGTAGTATTATTATTATTTTTGTTTCCTTGAGTTTTTACTCTTCATATTCTTAGAATGATATAACATTTTTTTTTTAAATAATTTACTTAAAATTTTGTAGGGAGGCTATCAATCAGTAGAACATCTATCAGAATTTTATGAACTTTGCTTTGAGGAAGACATGCTGCCAAGCGGTATGCAAGTTCCCATCATTTTTACCTTGAATAATCTCAGAATTGTTGAAATATTCTGATAATCTTGTTTATAAAATTTTAATGTAGGGATTGCAGTATTTGAAGCATCAACATCGGTAGTGCCCTGCTCTAATAACAACTCTACGACCACTTTCTCTCCTGCACCCACATGTTTGCCCAGAACCCCGCCGTAGCCTCAATGCACCAGCAAATATTGTGGCACGGGCTAGTACTCATGAGTTTGGTAAGCAGTATAGGGGTATCCATGCTGGCCGTCGAGATCGTCAGTTTTTGTATAGTAGGTTTAGGCTTTGTCGGACGTGTCGATATGATGTGTCCCTTTTGACTTGCCTTACTTTCTTGGGTAATTCTGATCGCATTGTCACTGGAAGCTACTCTGGTGAAGTAAAAATTTTTGATACTAGCAATGGCAATTTATTAAAGAGTTATGGTATCCATCAGAAACCCGTTCTTATGATTCAGTCGGCCTTTCTAGGGGATACCCAGTTTATACTTTCCTCAGGTACATTTGTGTAGGGGTTGCCTACTTGTACTCCTAGTTGAAATTCTTTGCATCTGAAATGTGCATTGATGGTTATGGAACTGGATCCCACACTGCAGCAGTACTATATATTTATTGGTGTTAGCATGGTTATAAATTGATGTTGTCGCTTACCTTGGATAGAGTTGATTTTGTAATTTTACATTTATTTACATAAAAGTAAATGAAAATTTTTTATGTTAACTAGATGTTATCATTTTGTAAACATTAAGATTTTATGATTAATGATTTCTGAGATCGCATTTTTTTATGTTAATTGATGGATGTATTTGTTAAATCATATGCAAATTCTTAATAATGATACTGATGAATTAATATAATTTTTTGGATTCTATGCTTTTTATTATTGTGACCAGAAGTTAATAAAATGTGTTATTTCTCTATTATAAAATTTATCTAACTAATTGCAATATAAAGGAGTGATGGATTGATCTTAATTGCTATAGTCAATGCATAATAATTGGATAACAATTTTTTGTACTAAATATCATAGATTTTATATTCATAAATATATATCAAAACTTAATGAAATTAAGGGGCACGTGATTTATTTGGTTGAACATTTTGCGACAAATTTTTATTTTGGTCGCTACAGGAAAATGTAATAAATAAATTTAATTATTAAAATTATTAAATAGCATCCAAATAAATATTCATTAGCATCCAAAAACATGGTCGCTAATATGTCCAATTTTAGTGACCAATACTAATTAGTGGTTGCTAATTTAGCAACAAAAAAATTTTTTTGGTCGCTAAAAGCCTCAGCGACGAGGCTACTGCGACAAATCAGCGACCCAAAAATTTTTGGTCGCTATTTGCTTTAGCGTCCAAATTATCATTTTTAGCGACCAATTTTGTTGGTAGCTAATTATCTATTTTCTTGTAATATAAAGTCTTGTAGGGATTGGAGTTATAAGGGATCATAAAGGCAAGTTTTTAGGTGCTTTTGGTAAAGAAATGTGCCATTGGGATATTACTCAATTGGAAGTGATTGCTCTTAGTAGCATTACAAAATTTTTACCTGAATTGATGTTTGATATAAAAAGTATCATAATTGAATGTGAAAATTTTAAATGCTATGACTTTTTTTCATAAGTCATTAAAGAAGGCCAAAGATATGGATGTACATAATTTGAATTTGGATTGATCATTTCTTTGTGATTTTCACAAAGTTATTTATTTATGTATCTCTTATCAATGAAATTAGGTGGCTGATTATTATGTCTCCTTAGCAATTTTTGATAATTTTCATTGGGATGTTGCTTCTTTTAATAATCTTCAACCAT